ATGCTGTAGAGGGGGGAGAGGCGAGGTACATTCCGCCTCCTCCACAGGCACCCCCTCTACCATTTCCATCTCGGGCGAGAAAGTTTAATGAAGACAGCCAGTTCGCCAAATTTACGGAGATGTTGAAGAAATTAGAAGTGACCATGCCCTTTCATGAGGTAGTGTTACAGATCCCGTCCTACACTAAATTTCTGAAGGACATTCTTACGAAGAAGAGGGCGGTTGAAAAGGAGACAGTGGCATTTAGTACAGAGGTGAGTGCTGCCATATTGCAGACAGAGCACCCGTGCAAAGCGCCCTCTCAATCTCCACATTTCTCAATCTGCACGGGATAGAGAAGCTACCGGGATCAGCCATCTTCTGCGGTAGCTCTGTCTGCAATATGGCAGCACTCACCCCTGTACTAAATGCCACTGTCTCCTTTTCAACCGCCCTCTTCTTCGTAAGAATGTCCTTCAGAAATTTAGTGTAGGACGGGATCTGTAACACTACCTCATGAAAGGGCATGGTCACTTCTAATTTCTTCAGAATTGGCTGTCTTCATTGTACTTCCTCGCCCGAGATGGAAATGGTAGAGGGGGTGCCTGTGGAGGAGGCGGAATGTACCTCGCCTCTCCCCCCTCTACAGCATGGCCCTTGCCTTTATCTAAGGCGGCCCTCTGTGGTTCTGTGACCTTCTCCCTCTTCTCTGGTAACTGGGGAGGTCTCCGGAAGCTATCTTCTGCTTCTCAGGCCTATGGCATTGATATGCTCTCTCGGGTTAGGATCAGCCTTACCCGGAAATTGGCCTTGAGGTCTCGTTGCCTGGGAAGCAAGCTGAGCAATCTGATTGTCTATCATCTTGATCTCTGCTCGAAGCTCTCTTGCTTCCCTTTGAATCCTTCCATCTCTTGGCCCAAGCTGGAAAATGAGTTTTTCTGATCGTGCATTAGCTGGGCTAACATCGACTTTAACTCTGACTCCTCTTCCTTAGCCTGAGGCGGAGGGGCTCTGTATCCTTGATTTCTCTGATTGTAGTCTTGGCCCTGATTCTGATACCCTTGATTCTGGCTCTGGTAGCCCTGATTCTGGTATCTAGGCTGAAATCCCTGGGGTCCCTGGGGTTTCGCTCCGCTTTGATGCTGAGGGTTCAACGCTCCTTGCGGGTTGCCATAAGAAAAGCCAGGGTGATTCCGATTCCCTGGATTGTAGAAGTTCGACTGATTGTTGTATTGATTTCTTCCCACATAGTCGACTTCTTCCATGGCTTCTTCTGCTTGTTCCACCATACATATGCCCGGTTTACCCTTCTGTGGGTTTGATGAACCGGACCTAGCAAGCTGCAGCTTGATGGCAGAAAGCTCCGAAAGAACGGCTTTTTAAAACGAAGACTCGCTGGCATCACCTTTGACATCAGCCTTAGGCAAAGACCGTCTGCTGCCCATTTCCCCTGAATCTGCTGCTCATTTCCCCTGAAATGCTTCTCCCTTTAGCCATTTTAGCAATCTGCGCCTCTAAAGCCTCGAATGGGAGATCATATACGCTGCCTCTGCATGCTGCATCAATCCATCCTCTCGTGTCGTCCCTAAGGCCATGTATGAATGTTGAGAGGAGATACTTGTTGTCCATACCGTGGTGCGGACACATTCTCTGATACTCCTTGAATCTCTCCCAAGCATCATACAAGGTCTCATCATCGTCTTGGGCAAATGTGTTGATCTTGTTCAAGGCCAATTGTGTCTTCATGGGTGAGTAGTACTTCATCATAAACTTCTCTTCCATCTCGTCCCATGTAGAAATGGAATTTGGCTCCAAGGTATAGAGCCAATCTCGTGCCTTATCCATCAGAGAGAAGGGAAATGCCTCGATCATCACGTCCTCCATTGTTACCCCTGGTGGCTTCTTGATGGTTCGACACAACATCTTAAACTGCGTAAGATGAGAATTTGGATCCTCATTATACCTCCCTCTGAAGCTTATCTGATTAAGCATTTGAATGAACTGTGGCTGCAGCTCAAAATGGTCTAAGGGTGGTCGGTTGATGCACGAGAGTA